TACATATACATATACATATACATATATATATAGAGAGAGAGAGAGTGAGCGAGCGAGAGAGAGAGAGAGTTGTGCTGCAATTCTGAAAGCACAGAGTTCGAGGCCACCAGCTGCTCTGCTCTCGTGAAATTAACTGCCTCTGAAAATCCGTCAGAGGGTCAGTTATGGGTCAGTTCCAACTAAACGGTACACTGCACAACACCCCCCCCCACACACACACACCCTTCCCCCTCATTCCATGTGGGAACTCTTGAGGATTTTTTAAACTTTTACCATACAATTGTTGCTAACTGCCTGTCCCTCGTAGTGACGTCATGCACCGCAGGTGGAGAACCTGCGCCGTCGCCAGTCTCTGCTGGGCGTGAGGCTATCGCCGCAGGTGCTGTGCCCATCCTTCCCGAGGGTCTTCCTCTCCCCCATGGACCCTCTGTTTTTTCCCCAGCATGAAATCCCTTTCCAAGGACTCGCTCCTTCTGACAATATGGCCCAAGAACCAATAACATAGCTAACCTTTCAATTCACCACCTGTGTGACCCTGGGCAAGTGACTTCTTTGTGGTTCAGTTTATCTACAAATTAAGAATAAGAAACTCCCTTGCAGGTTTAGATAAATTAACTATGCAAGTGCCTAGCCAGTGCCCTTTTTACGGAAAGGCTCGATAAAACTTGGAGCAGCTGCTATTATTATTAATTATTATTGAATTCATAACTAATAATAATAATAGAACCATTTATTATTAAACTCCTGCTGAATTCACAGTCCCAGAGCTAAGCTATATCTAGACAATGACATTGGGAGGATGACTCTCAAGAGACGTGGCCTAGACAGGGGCTAGAACATTACAATGGTCAGCTTTCATGCCTGAAAAGGTCACATGAACTCAATGAAAGGTGCATCTCCTGTGGAAGGTTCTAGAGCTGTGAGTTAGAGTCCGCTCTTGGCAATGGCATAGGGTTGTCAGGGCCAGAGCTGGAGGAGGCAGGTGTTCCTTCTAGAATCAGAGAACCTAGGAGAGCACTGAAAGGGGGCTGAGCAAATGCTCACATGTTCAACATTTATTCAGAAGAAGTGTCTTTAATGAGTAAGAGAGACATGGCAGGTTTGCAGGTTGAGGGCCATCAAACACAGCAAGGTGGGGCATGTGAGGAAGGGCAGTGTCGTTGGCTTCTGGACAACCTTGTCAAACAAGCCAGCTCTCTGGGGCTGGACCTTTCTCATACGTCTGCCTGGGCATCACGTGCTCCTTGACCAGGGAATCTGTGTCTCCCTGTGCAGCAAGGCCCCTGGGGCTAACAGATGAGACTAGAAAACCCAGTGAGCACTGAACAGTTGCTGGTCTTATTTCAGGAGAAGGCACAGCCAGCTCAGTATATACAATGCATGGACTACTTCAGTCAGAAGCATAACCAACGAGAGCTGAACATTTAAAAACTCTACCACGGTAACTGTCTTAAGGCTCCCCATGTGAAGATCGTAATTACACGCTGAGCCTTCCCCTGTGATGTCTGTTACAGTGCCTCTGCGCCTTTACTGTTCCCATAAAGCAAAGGAAAGAACAGAAATGGCCAGCTAATAGGCAGCTCATCTTGATCCCTTCATCTCTTATCCTCCACTGAGACTCTGTTTTATGGTCATTTTCCTCTAACCTGAATATTCCCCGCTCCCAAAGCACAGCTTTCCCCTTCCCGGAGCCTTAGAAGAAAAGACAGAGAAACTACTGGAAAGCGGTGAAGGCAGCTGCTGAAACTATAGCTGAGCTTGCTGTTGTGGTGGGGCATCCTCTCTCTGTGCCTCTCTGTCTCTCACACTTACACACACACACACACACACACACACACACACACAATCTCCCCGAGGTCCCTGGCTCTCAAATGACAACAGCTTCATCCCCGTCAATGGGAACTGGGCGCTACAGCTCAAAAGGCATGATTGCAAGAAGGATGGTTTTGAAGAAAATAAATGAACTTCTCTATAAAGTACAATTATCTTCTTTAAAATACAAAATGCTAATTTGCGGCCCTCGGGCCAGTCTTTCATTGTTTTTGTTCAGATACTCCTCTAGGTCGTATAGCCCTGGTGTACAAGTTGCCATACAGCAGTCACTTGTGGTTGCTGTGAGGCTGAACACTGTGACACTGGTGTGTCAAATGCATTAATGGTTGGCTACCCAATGTGGACAGAGAGTGGGGTGGAGCTCCCCGATTAAAACAAGTGTGGAAGGAGGAGTGGCATCCACTTCCATAATAGCTTGCCTCCGGAAACCCTATGAACCTGGAGAGAGGATGAAAGACACCCAAGCGTTGAGGACTCTCCTTCATAGGGTCGCTATGAGTCGCCTGCGACTCCACGGCACTTAACAACAATAATAGGCATTCAGTGTCCACAAAAGGTCTCCTAAGCTCATTTCAGTTTTGACTAGTAGCTGGAGTTGCTTTGTTTTGCAAAGCTGTCTGGAAACAAAGTACGTTGCCTCTCTTAACGCATCTCAAAACTCTTTCCTTTGCCCTGAGTTCTTACCTATGGGGACAGCACTGGCTATAAAATTGGGTTTTGCTTTTCTGCGGGGTGGGGGGAGGGGGAAGTGAGGATGCTTTCAAAACTAAGCTTCCTCTGGAACCCCTTTTGCTTTGGTCAACAGATTTATCCAGTCTTCCGTCTGTAAAATCTTCTGTCATTTACAGCTAAGTAACATTAAGTCCAAATGATTGGCGTTATGATTCCTGTGGAAAGCAGAACCGAGAACAGAGCAGTGGAGAGCCACCTGTACAGTTTCCAAGGCTTCTTTATAGAAGCAGACTGCTATATCTTCCTGCTGTAGAGTGGCTGGTGGGATCGAACGGCCAACCTTTTGGTTGGCATTAAAGTACTTTAACCATTATACCAGCAAGGTTCCAACATCAAAGGCAGCCTTCCTCTCCTCTCCCTTTTTATTAACGATTGCTTAAAATTCCCCAGCAGAAGTTCAGCAAAAGAGAGGCAGCTGCATAAAGCAGAAGATGGGTGGCCCAGCGACTCCGACAATAAGCCTGAGTGAGGTGGAGACTCCAAGGACAGAGCAGGACAAGATAAGGCTTCAATCTGCTGTTGAAAGGGAGGCTCTGCTCTGGGTCAAATTAACGGCACCTAATAACAGCAGCAGCAATAACATTCCCAAGTGCAAATACAGCACCTTCACCATTATATGGAACGTAATGACCTTGGAGACGAAAAGAGCACCCTAATTGGGTGGTTTGTGAGGGAGCTCCAAGAAAGAGGAAAGTAGGCTGACGCCCGAGTATCAGTATGAGACTGTTGGCCAACACGATGTGGGACAGGTCAGTTATTGCGATGCCGCAGCACCAATCCAGGGCCAACAAGACTCCTGGGTAACTTGATTTCATTATGTCAAGGGATGTGGTGGTAAATAAAAAAAAAGTCCCATTACGGCAAGCTCATGGCGACGCAGCCCTGAGGAGAGAGGATCCTGTCCAACAACTGGACATTCCAGTCCCATGGCTGGGAGGTAGTCACAGGAAGGATACACGTGTGCTGTTGGAAGCATACGTTCTAGAGTCAGAATGCTTTGGTTCCAATCCTTGCTCTGTACTTAGTAGCTTCATGACTTTGCATGTTACTGGCTAAAAACAGTAACTACCCTGACTGGGTGGTTGTGAGGATAAAGTGAGTTGTTATATGTCAAGTTCTTAGCACCAGGCCCAGCACAGACAGAGCACTCAGTCAATGAGCACTGTTGTGGCTGTTGCTGGCTCTGGGGTGCACCAGGTCACAGCAGCCCGATGCCATTAAACTCCTGAATCCTCCAGTTGGCCTGTGTCCCCTGCCATCGGAGATGCCATCAGAACAACTTCGTAGAACAACTTCTGATGCCCCAATACAACTTCGTAGCAAGTATCTTTGTACCAAGCACCTTTACATGAATGTCTGCTTACAACATTATAAAACAAGTATCTGGGAATTCTAGTGCATGCGACAGGCTCTTGAGAGCTGCGTTAACGTGAGTCTCTGGGTCTCACCAGTTTCAAGGCACTGGAAGACAGAGTTTCTGAGGCTGCAAACATGGCAAGTCCACCATGGCAAACAATCCTGGAGAGGCCTCGGGGCACAGCCTGCATCCTGTCTCCATGCCAGCTGGCCCTTCACTCAGACATCCACCAGAGTGTGACTCCCCAGCGCCGGTGCCTTACCTGTGACGTGCAGCTTCTCATCAGTGACCTCAGCCTTCAGGTAGATGCGCCCTCGCTTCTCCGTGTGATCCATGCCACAGAGGCTGGGGACGTTTATCACGCACTGCTTGTGTACATTCATGTCACAGGCTGGGAATCGAGACAGCAGAGCAAAGAGTAAGCTTGGCCATATGGGAGGGAACCTTCACCTGCTCCGTGTTTTGTTATACGAGTGTCAACATGCCCCCCCCAACTTGATCATGTGCTATAATGTTTGTGTCGACATAAAGGACCGTTAGCAGATGTCCCTCACGGCACTGGCTTCCTCTGCGTGACAACATCCTTAAAAATACTCAGGCCATATCTGTCTAGCCGTAGTCAAAACAAAATATCCCTGGCCTGGTCTTCTGTGACAGTTTCAAATATTTAACAATATCCAACATTCACATAGGTAAGTGTATACAGAGCATAGATAAATTAATATTTTATGTACACTGAAACAAAGACATGCAAATCGAAACAGAGGATTCCCCGCCCCCCGAAGAATTTTCTCTGCCTTTCTCAGCTCACCACTGGAGAAAGTGAGACCATGCAAGTTGAATATGGAGAGTTTATAAAAATTTCCTTTCTTCAGCTAATCCTGTGTTTTCAAGAAGGCTAAAATGTATTGCTAGTATGGGATTCCTTTTGTTCAATCTTAAGAAAAGAATGTGTGTTTGATATTTTAAACCTGTCTTCAAATATTTAAATGTTATTTCAAGTACAACAAATAACACCCGCGTGGCATGATAAGCCACTTGCGAGCTGACATTATGTGGGAGAGATGGGGGGGCGGGGAGGACAGAAAAAGGTTCAGGCTTATTGAGAGCAAGAAAAGCCACCCAGCCAATAAGGCTGCATGCTGGAGGTGAACAGAAGGCAGTGGGGGAGATCCGGGGCCGCGGCCTAAATGTCTCTTGGTTTCCACCAGGGCAGGAGGCCGCTAAAACCTCCCAAATTCTTGACTGGATGTTACGAGGTTTGTTCAGTAGCCTTCAGGATGGAGAATTCACATCAGTTTCATTTTGAGGGTGTAATTGCAAAGTAAATTGTGAAAAGCGTGATGAGTAATGCACAGTGCCCCCTGTTTGTTGTTGTTATATGCTGTTGAGCCGAGTATAACTCATCGGGACCCTACGGATGAGGGTTGAACCTGCCCTATTCCCCAGCCCCGTGCCAACCTCCTCATCTCTGACACCCTCATCGCTGTAGTCACTGTGTCAACAATCCACCTGGGTGAGGGTCTTCCTCTGCTTCACCGTCCCTCCACCCTTCCAAGCTTGATGTCCTTCTTCAAGGAACGGCCTCTTCAACAAAACGCTCAAATTAGGCCTCCATAAGGGACTGAAACCAGGTTCCGGGCCCAGTGGAGGAAGAACATATTAGTTGACTCTCAAGTGTGGCTTCTGTTTCCAGAGTTACCTGTTCGAAGCCACGCACCTTGACCTAGCCAAACAGAAGGCATTAAGAGAGCTGTGTTTTAAATGTAACTTGAGTTGTTGCTCTGTGCCATTGATTTGATTCTGGCTCACAGAGATCCTAGGACAGGGAGAATGGCCCTCAGGGCTGCCTACACTGTAATCAATATGGCAGCTCCGGTGGCCTAGGGGAAAGAAGCTGCACTGCAATCCCAAAGGCACTAGGTTCGAATCCAACAACAGCTCTGCGAGAGAAGGACGAGCAATCACCTGGTGCAAGTAACTACCTCTGAAAATCTACCTGAGGGTCAGCTATGGATTGGCTCTGACTCAACCACCACCACAAAAATCCTGATGGGAGCAGACTGTCAAGCCTTTTCTTCCTTGGAGTCACTGTGTGGATTTGAACCTCCCACATTTCGATTAGCAGTCAAGGGTCTATCCATTGTGCCACCAATGCTCGTCATAACTTGGCTATCCAAATCTCACCTTTATGTGAAATTTAAAGGAAGTACATGCCAGAGCCTCTTGAAAGGATCTGGGAAACAGAGCAGGGAGGGAAGGGAGGTGGAGAGGCACTGGGTCAGGTCCTCCGCTTGGCTGCACCATTAACTTCCTATTTTGGAAAGCTCGTTCACCTTCTCTGATTCCATTTCAAGTTCAGCACAAGAAGAGGCTGACCCAGGCGAGTGGCTTCCTAGAACGGTTTTCCCCACCAAGTGAAACTATATATAAAACTGATGATGTCGTAGTCTGTAAGGAACAGTCCTCTGCTGGTACAAATGGTTAGAGCAGTTGGTTGCTAATTGAAAGCTTGGAAGTTCAAGTTCACCTAGAAGAGCTTTGGAAGATAGGCTTGGTGATCTAAAATGTCAACCACTGACAACCGTGGAGCGTTGTTCTCTTCTGATACACATGGGACCACCAACAGTCAGAACTGGCTCAATTCAGTGACAGCTGGGGCTGCAGGGCCCAGGAAGAAGTGTCTCTGGAGAATTCAAGGTAGGAGCTAAGGCCCTGGGGCCACATGCTGACCTTTGGGCTCCCTCCAGGAGCACATCCAGTGGCCTGAGGGGCCCTGGAACTCTATGGGGTGCGAGAGCAGGAAGATCATAAGAAAAAACAATTTTGCCAACACCATTTGTTAAAAAGGCTGTCGTTCCCCCACTTCACTGATTTCATCTCCTTGTCAAAGATCAGTTGACCATAGATAGTTGGGTTGATCTCTGGATTCTCAATTCTATTCCATTGATCTATGTGTCTGTCATTGTACCAGTACCATGCTGTCTTT